GTTCTCCCCCAAAGCTGGTTTGTCCTTAGCTAGTTACTGTTTCCCCCTCTCTGCACAGAAATACTTTTGCAGGAGTTACCACTGTTTCAGACACAAGCATCTGCCAGTGGAATTTCTCTCAGCTGTTCAAGGGATTAGTTGCAGATAACTCCTGCTTTTCTGTTCCATATCCAAGTAAGGGTAAAGCATCTCAGGAACAAGGTTTTATAAGAATCCAGGAAGGAATACAGTTATAAACAGAAGAAGCTGAATGATGGTGTTTGTGAAACTGACTGTGATACATGAGCTCAGCATCAGTGGCATCCTGGAAGCCCCAGAAACCATGGAGCCCTAGGCTCTTCAGAGCCTTGGACCATGGAAACCTTTAGTCCTTGACAAACCATCAGGAACCAAGCAGGTTTCCATGAAAAAATGGTGGGAAAATCTGAGGAAACGCCACTGAGCCAAAAAAATTGCCATAAAACACCTATTTATTAAATCCAAATCTAACACTGTTTTGTCAGAAACTACCAGGAAAGTACGAGCACAGCACCTGCTGCCACTTCGCTCTGAGTTAGCATCCCCTCATGGTCAGCTTTTTGCCATACTATTTCTTTGCACTCTCTGTCAAAGAGAATAAGTATCCAGTTCGTGGAATGAGTGAAATATAGAAACATGCAATTCTCTTTCAGGAGAAGTTTCATATCAGGTTGTACTGTAGATCTCAACTGATATGAATCTTGCTCCTAGGACAAGCTTCCATTCACACATCCTAAGCAAAGAGAATTACAGTACAAACCTAGACTGAATCCAGAAGGGAATCTTTCTCTCGACTTCATTAAGGCCAGGATTTACCTATCATATAGTAAAAATCAGTGAAAAAAAGATGCCTAGTAGACTAGTGGTGGGCAAAATTCCACGTTTGGAAGAGAAGAAGGCTTGGATACAGCAATTCAATTATAGTAGCCATAGTCTCCAATGGATCTTAAAGATCATTTGAAACTAAACACGTTTTTGATACAGTTGTCTTTTTTTGTCTGTTGGTAAAAGCTGGAAGATTCCTTCATCCATGTTCAATCTTTAAAGCTACTTCCAGTATAAGTTCAAATCCCAAGTAAGTCGCATGCTAAGCTGAGGTTGCACATCTTAGCCCCTTGGCACTACCTAAGGCTACTGTCAGTGATAAACCAGTGCTATTGCTAATTCATGGTCTTATCTTGATCCTCCTAAAATCACAGGAAATGTAAGTAAGCATCGCTGATCATCTTCTGTAGTGAAGTCTGAGCCCTTAGAAAATAAATACTAACCTCAGAAACATGGCTACTTCCTTTTCCATTGATGCTACATTATCTTTTTCTCTATACATTTTATATTGCTTCCACTGATGTGCTGTGAATGCCAAAAAGAAAAGCTCAGATTGAACCCTGTTAATTAAAAGGATTAACACAGATGGTTTGTCTGGTACTTTGCATAGGCGGTAAATTAAAGCAATGTTGTTCAGCACCATTAAAATGCCAGATAAAGTTTTGGGAACAATGCTCATTAGGAAATACGGTTTACCAACAGGCACTTTGAGCAGCGCAGTATATTTGCAGTTAATTAATCTGATTCTAACATAACTTAACTGCGGTGCAAAATACTGCATGCTGATATGAACATCAATGCCAAGATTTTTCAAAGTTGAAATCTGGCACTTACTAAAACAATCCACAATCACTCTAATCTCACATCGTGCAGGAAAACATGATATCATGAGGGAGTCTGAAGTCCTGTAATTCAGTATGATTTAAAGAGCACTAGAAAAGAAACCAAGGCAAATCCTCATTGCAGGAAGGCAATAATAGGCTAGCAAAAACAGAAAGAGAAAGAAAAATTGCATTAGACAGAACTTATATATAGATATACAAAATAAATACAGCTTATGGTGTGATGGTATATATTTTCTTGCAATAACAGTAAGGAGGTCTCAATTCTGAAACCTTCTTTCAAACTTTATTTTATGCACTCAAATAACACTGTTCAGTTATGTGCTAAAAGGCAGTCATTTGCACGGGTATGTGCTGCATCCGGACCTAAAGCTGATGGTGGAAACTGATTTTGGTTATAGTCATTACATCAGCTCAGCAGTGACAGAATAGTCATTACATGAAAACACTGATGGAATTCAGTCCCTTTATTCCCAAGACAGGCATATGTCATGGGCTGTATGTTAAAATTTATCTGTTGTAGACCTAACATCTATGATCAAATTTAAAACAAATATAGGGGAGGAAAACTATCTGCTACAGGGTTGCATGGCCGAAGGACATTTTAGTAGCTTCATTTCTTCACTAGCATCTGCAGCAGTTGGATGAGGCAAAGTCCTTTGATGTTACTTTTGTTACTGAAGGATTTTCCTGCGACAAATAATCCCATTCCCACCTGAAGTTTCATTTAGAATATTCACTATCAGGATTACATCATGTGTCTCCTAGTCCTCTACTGATCTCAGATGACCAACCTGTGTCACCTGCAGACACATTCCTGACAGCCACTTAGTTTCCTATCCCTGCTTCATGAGACCTACAAGGGTCTCAGGGAGAAAATTATGGTTATCAAGGAGACCAACTATTTGTTATGTAGGCCCTACCATTTAGCAAAGAGTAGAGCAGCAGAGATTGAGCTGCTGGCCTGAGCTGGTCCAGAGCAAGCTACCTGATTGCTGCCTAGCTTCTTCCTCCATGAACAACACAGCAGCCAAAAGCATCTTCTTTTTAACCACGTTAGGAGATATGGTCACCACTTAACTTGGCAGTGCTGGAAGCCAAGGCAGAAATGAGAATCAGAGAGAGCACTGGCTGTACAGGAACTGTCAGCTTTCTCCCTTGGCCCCATTACTTCCTCTCTTGGAGCTGGAAAGGCAGCAGTGGTTGTGTCGCAGCCTCGTGTGTCTCGCCTCAGCTGTGGTATGCTGGGGCTAATCTCTGGCTGCCTGGGATCCTATCGGAGCACTGCAGTAGTTCAACAACACCATGGATATCAGAGTAAAAGTAGAAACATCATGTAAGCAAAAGTCTCACCATCCTTCTTCCATATTTAGAATCAACAATTCAAAGGCATTTGGAGATTTCATAGTGATTTAATTGAGGAATGTTGCATACCAAGGTAAATCTGCAGTAAAATTTACACTCTTCACCAGATTCTTTGAAAAGTCCAGATGAGCCTTTCAAGTGCTGGTCTTGGCAAGCATCAGACCGTGGGCCAAATACTGTCAGCTGCTGTTGGGCAGGCACCGCACACAGGCGGTGTCCTGCAGAGGCTGTAACAGGCCCTCAACAGGCAAAGACCCTCTGTGTTCTCCTGTTATTTCTCCTTTCATTGCCCTTCCAGTTTTGCTGCTCTTCCAATTGCCTGGGGTGGAAGGGGATAACCAGGGGTTTGGCAGTGTCTGCTTCCTGTGAGGTGATTTCCAGAAGGCCCATGGAACTGTGGTGACAACATTCTGGAGGAGGCAGAGTCTGCCCCTTTATCCATAGTTTCCAATATCCATGCCTAATGTCACAGTAGTTGAGTGTCTCACTTGAATCTCTTGCTGATGACTTACACAAGATATGTCTCCATTAGCGCATACATCCTGCCAGGCCTGGATGTGTATTACTACTAGAACATACAGGAAACATTGAAAGCACCATGCTACTGTGCCACGTACAGGCCTTTCATAAGAATTTGGAAAGATTTTGGAGTCCTTTAACTGCACTGAAGTAAGGCTGCCTCTGGTCACTCAAAGGTGCAAGTGCAAAGGCTATTTCTGTCCTCTGAAGGGAAAGGAAATGCCACTGAAGGAGCCCTAGATGGTCAACTTCACTTCTGCTGCTGCTCTGTGGGGCACAGCAGAAGGTTCCCTGCTAACCTAACTAGACCTTCAAACATCATAGGATGCATGTGCTTCGCAGTCCGATTTGACATTTGCCATTGAAAAGATTATTAATATTTGATGGTGCCAACATGAAAAAAAATGCTCTTATGGAATACTTGGAATATCTGCCTTAAAGAGCAGTGCTTATCATCAGAAAACTTCTGCTCTTCAGCTTGAGCCGTAGCTGAAAAGCTTGCATTCTCTGGTAGCATAATTTCACAGAAAAATCTCCCCATGGTTATCTGATAGGCAGAAAAGCGGCTGCAGCAAAACCTGAATTTTCAGGTCAGGTTTCTTTTTACATAAAGGCCTAAATTCACTAAACAAAATTTCGGCTGCATTCCTAGAAATCTGCAGTGATTCTGTCTCCACAGAACAAACAGCCCAGTGTTACTTCCATGGAGCCCTTGTTTGAAGTGCCGCTTCCCATGCTGAGATGCTGAATTCATGTGAATGTAAATGCCATTTACATGAATAGTGCCAGAATCACAGCCTAGCAAGAATCAGTGGCTTACATTTTATAGGTGAAATTAATTCCTCTGCACAGTCTGTCAACTGATAATAGTTAAAAAGTGCAGGGGATGTTCTACCATAAGGTGTGGATGGCTTTAGGTTATGGAAGAAATATTGATGCACGTGGTGCCAAGCAGTTTTCAGAGTTGAACTGACGTTGCCGCCTTGGGTGCTCCATCCTGGGCACTCCGTTCTGCAAACGACGTGTGCTGATCTGCACAGCTGCCACTCATGCACAGAGGAGAAACAGCAGCTTTTGAGTAGCTTTAAAAAAACAGGAAGGTAACAGGTGGATACATAACTGTACTCACCTACCCTGGAGGGCAGCGAATGCTGTAAGAGAGAAAGAGGAAATGCAGCTGCATGAGCTCTCAGAGCTGGCACTGCAGCTGGTCATAGAAATCCTAAAACAAGTGGGACCCTTCACTTGAAGTAAGAATTATTGATGTTGAGCAAAACAGCAGCTTGAGAAAGTCACTTTTACTTTGTAGCATGACAAACGAGTCCTTTCCTAAGAAATAAGATAAATGGGGGAAACATTTTTTTCCTTCCCTGTACTCGTGATACTGCTAGCTGTCGTGACCATGAAGTGCTCCTTTCCCATTGCTTCCAGAAGACTCCCTTTTCTCAGTGAGCAGCAAAATCACGGGCAAATCCTGCGAGTACAACGGCACCACCTACCACCATGGTGAAATGTTTGTGGCTGAGGGGCTCTTCCAGAACCGGCAAGCGAACCAGTGCGCCCAGTGCAGCTGCTCCGTAAGTGACACATGGGAGCCGTGCTCTGCCCGGGCCTCACGTGCCCTTTGCAGAGGACAGGCCGTGGATCCACGAGGCACGTGGGGTCTGGGAGTTAATGCCGAAGCCTGCAGCATGCTCAGAGCTGCTTGCAGCACCTGGGAAACGCCAGGCTGCCTCTTAATAAAACACGGGGTAGAAAGTCCGCCCTGCCCAGCACCTGCCCTAGGCGAGCGTGCATGGCACAGGCAGCAGGTACAATACTGTGGCCTGGCAAATGGAGAGGATTTTGCTTCGCCCTGCCTGGAAAATACAGCACAAAGTCGCCCACTGAAGGTAGATTCATTTGGGCCAAGCTGACAGCCCTGCGCTGGCCCTGGGGAGCTCGTTCAGGCCACAGATCCATCCCAAAACAGGGGCCTGGGCCAGGTCAAACACAGCATATCCCAGCAGTCGTCCCAGGACACTTGTGAGCTCCTGCTGAACCAAACAGCCCTCTCACTCCAGCCAGCTCTTCAGCAAGAAGCCCTGGCAGCTCCAGACCTCCTCTGATCAAATCACCATGCTCTGCATTAACAGTAACCAGGGATTTAACAGGCCAAGAGCTGGAGGGACTTTGTGAGTGGAGGTTTCAGTCGCTGCTGAGTCTTCCTTGCAGATCGATCATAAGAGGCAGCAGCATTAACTGACCCTGGGTAGGTTTAGTCCCAACCTTCTCAGGTATATTCTGAACTTAAAATCACTGTGGTTCCTTCCCCCACCTCCTCTCCCTTTTCCTGAATATTTTTCAAAGGGGGACTTTCCTCTGCATGACGATAAATTTAAGGAGTGCTATCCAGACTTTTCACTGGTCCAGTATTCTGCTTTTGGATACCAGGGTGACATTTGTGTAAACATCAGTACATATATCTACCAAAAATGCATTTACAGTACCATATGAATCGATGCCTCTCCTTCTAAATGCTCCTTGTGTTCCACCAGCAGGAAGGGAATGTGTACTGTGGGCTGAAGACGTGTCCCAAATTAACTTGCTCTTTCCCAGTTTCTGTCCCGGAGTCCTGCTGTCCCGTTTGCAGAGGTAAGTCCTGGCCCATCTACAGGAGGTCACATGTTGGAATTTGCTTCTTCCCCTGTCAGCGCCCTGCCAGACCAGTGCGCTGCCACTCAGTCCTGCACCTTTCCCATTTACTTTCAGTGCCAAATGTGGAAAAATTCAGCCTTGTGTTCCAGCAGGGAATGTTGCTCTCTCTATTTTCCCAAACTGAAACAGGGGAGAAGGCACCAATGGCAAAGTTGCATCCCTATGAAGAGGTGAATCAAGGGTTCACACAATGCACTGAAATAGCTGCCACTGCTCTGGGTAGAAAAGCTCTGAGATAAAAATAAGTCTCTATCCGACAAGTTACCAGACCAGCTCTAGTTGTACAAGACACAAGAGCTGGAGGGACTTTGTGAGTGAAGGTTCAAGGATAAGGCCAGTTGTTTTCCTTGAAACTAGATGCTAACCTATATTCAGATAATTTGGGGATTACACTAGTAACTTAGATCTTGCACACACATGGAACTCAAGTCTCAAGAAGTGCCACCAGCCTTCTCATCCTTCCCAAAAGTCCAAGCCTAAAAGTTTGTCTAAAAGCCAATGTAAATGTCTGACAATTTCTAAATGCATTTTATCTCACCATTGGCATTCAGGCTTTTGAATTACCATCTCAAGGGTCTTTAAGCACCTTTGGACAGTTCTCAAAGATGCAGACAGGACCTGATGGTGCTCAGAATTTTCAGATGTGCTGCTCTATTGAGATGAGTGACACCAGGCTGCTTTGAAAATCTCTCCCACTTGTCTCTCTCTGCACCTTCCATGGTGATACAGGTTTGAAACCAACCTGTTATAGTTTAAAAAAGTCGAAGTTTTGCTGCAGAAATCAGTCACTGAAACCAAAGAGGCAATGATTAAGGAAAACAAGCTCTTCAGAAGTAGTATTTTCATACAAGAGATGAGATTAAATTGGATTATGCAGTAGAAGACCCAATGTCTCCATTTTTGCAGACTTCTTTTCTCTCGACATGTTTTCTACTGTTTATAACTCTTACATAAAATCCTTCAGACTTCTCATTTCTCTCCTACCTAACCATATCCTTTCCAACATGGCACAAGTTGTTTTATCTCCCCTCGCAATGCCTACAAAACACAAACCTAAATGCAGCGTCGGCACCAAGACACCAGCACAGCTCAGGGTGAGGAACCTGAGAGTCAACTCCTGCTCCCTGCATGGCCAAAAAATACTAACACAACATATTCAAACTTGCTGAATATCCCATTCATTCCTCTACTAGCATGGAGCCACTAGAGAAGGCACCAAGCCCTATAGTTCAGATGTTAGTTTACATTAAGATCTGTCTTCTCTTAAGTGAAGGACAAAGCTCTCAAACGCTGCGAGATGACAACACGCAGGGTGCAATGAAGAGGTGGGTCCTTGATGGATCCCACCCAGTTGAAGGCAACCGAGGCGGCCCCGGCCCGCAGTCAGTCCCCTCTCAGCAGCGCGGCTCGGCAAGGTCGCCCTCGCGCTCGCCCATCGCGCGGCCGCACGGTGCTGGTGCTGCCACCCACCCACCCGCCTGGGCCGGGCCGTGGCCGCATCCCAGCCGCAGCGCCCGGCACGGCTGCAGCTCCGCTCCCGGCCGCTCGCTTTTAGCTCTGCCTCTGTCTCTGCGCCCAGGCTGGGGAAAACGCCAAGCTCAGTTCCACGCTGAATGATCTCTCCTCATATAATTTTTTTCAAGAATTGGATATCAGTTCAAGTTCCATAGCTCATCATATCGAGGAGTATTTTTCATTACATCTTTAAAACCTACTTAAACCACAGTCTCTCCCCAAACGGAACTGATTTTTCCCTGCTAACATTTCGTGGTGGCTCCTGCTCAGTAATGTTTGTATTTATGAAGCTGCCTTTACCCGGCAAGCAGCTAGCACTGCTCTGAGCAGGACTGGAAGGGTCCCCTTCCCTCCAACTTTCCACTCTGCAAATGACAAGTTTGGCTGTGAGGAACCGAGCCTGGCTCTGCGAGGCCCTCGCGGCGTCCCATAAGCTTCTCTCCTTCTGTAGCACAAACACAGACTGCCCTCCAAAATCCCTGTCTCTTTTCCAGCAGAATGTCCCTACTTTGCTGTGAATGCACTAGGTGTTAAGAGTCCTATTCTGCAGTATTTTATTTGCCTGCTTTGGAACAGCAGGGCTGGACAGTTCACACTCAATACATGCAAACAGAGGCTCCTATGAGCTTAGATGGGATCCAGCCACAGCAGGTCCATTTCTCATAGACCCTGACGTAACTCACTGCATGTGCCCGGAACAGCTTCTGCTTTTTGTTTAGTGCATTATGCACTCAACAGCGTCGTTTCTGTTTAGCAAATAGTCAGTTTTGGACAGAGGTTTGGCCTGCAGGAGCAGATGACAGAGCATCCCTGGTTCATATCATACCTGGGACATGAAGTCCAAACTATCAACTTCTGTTAAGTGAAGAACAAGAAAAAAAAAAAAAAAAGCACATAAATCTAAGGGTAAAAGAATGCAACCTGCATCTTAAACTTAGCTGTAAAGCTGGGTGAGACTTCTCTCCTAAGTACCTCCCAAGGCATTACACAGTTATTCCCCTAAGTGATCCTGTTCTGCTTTGCCTGCAGGAGATGGAGAATTATCCTGGGAGCACTCCGACGGAGACATCTTCCGGCAGCCGGCCAACAGGGAAGCTGTAAGTGGGGCCCACATTTTCCTGCTGTGCTGTGCATGCAAGTACTTTGGGGGAAAAAAGGTAAAAGGATGTTACCAGGTTTGACAAGATATAAAAATATCTACTGCTGGATCCTGTGAATCTAGCCCCAAACTGATTTCTTCCACTTCCACAAGCTGACATATTTACATGTATATATTTACTTCAGGGGCTTCACTATCTCCAGCATTAAGAGTAACAGTTTACAATGTATTCCGTAAAAGGGGATTTTTATGGCAGCATTCAGAAAATATGAGGAGCTTTTAAGCATTCAGAGGCATGACCTCAACACATGAACCACCAGGTCTTTGCATTAGAGAAGAACTGTGCCTTTCACCACAGCTGCTGTAATACACACTCTCCCTTCATGCCCCCGGGTATTTTGGAAAATAATTTTCCGAAAACAGCCATAGCGTTTTTGCTCTAGAAAACGCGCTGCACAGACTACTTTCTTCTGCAAATAAAATGAGCCTTTGCAGTCTGCGAGCTCAGACAGTCTCCAGCCCAGCTGCACTTGGCCTGTGCAAGCAGAGCTGCACCAGCCTCAGCTGGGAGCGCAAAGCTGCAGCGGGAGAGTCATTCTCACCGTGTGTTTGTTGGGTGGTTGTTTGTTAGGTGCCATCCATTATGCTTAGAGCCTCTTTGATGGTAGTGACAACACACGTGTCAGGACCCCCTTTGGAGTGCAGCCTCTTTCCTCGTGCTCGCTGGACGGGTCATTTACCTCCCTGCCTTTCTGCCTGCAGAGACACTCGTACCCCCGCTCGCACTACGAGCCGCTGCCCAGCTCGGGCAGGCAGGCGGGCGGCGCCCCTCGCTTCCCGGGCGCCAGGAGCAACCGCGGCGTCCTGCCCGACCCCCAGCAGGCGTCGGGAACCATCGTGCAGATCGTCCTCAACAACAAGCATAAGCATGGGCGAGGTAAAGAGCAGTCTTTTTTACACCAGTACTTGGGATCAGGTATCTGCCACCTAAGAGTCCTGAAAGCTTCCCAATAGAAAGAGCAGAGTCTTGCAAATTCACACTGGGATCAAGAGACCCAGTGCAAATTGGAAAGGTGAAATGCAGTGAACGATTCAAGGTGTGAAACACGCTCTTGACTGAGGTCTGTGTGCCTGCACGTAGGACACAAGTGCCTGTCACCACCTGGGCATCACTCCATCGCCCACCTCTGCACCACTCTGCGGGACGGGGCTGGAGGGCATCATCAGCCTTTGGATTTGCTAACAGGTTCACAGAGCAATGTGGTCAGTAGGAAACAACCAATCTGTGGTTGATTTCTTTATGTTGTCTCCTATTTTGTAACTTAAGTGCCTGTAAGCAGCCTGTGTGGAGCATGTGCCCCACAACTGTACTAGGTGATGAGGACATCAGGACTTTAAGCTTATACATCAAACCTTGACTAGGCTGTATTCCTGCTGCATTGCAGAAGGGACAAAAATGGAGAGGAAACGTCAGCCCCCAGGTAGCGGGGAGAGCAGAAAGGGTGGGATGTCCCATTCCTGGTTGCTTCTGTGGATGCAGAGGTTTGCTGGGGCACAACTAAGCAGCCATAAAAGAAATAGGTGTGAAGAGCAACCGTAAAGAACAGCTACCCACAAGTACCAGTCAGTGAACACTCCAGAGCAACCCGCAAAGAGTTAAAAGCCCTTGTATTATGGCCAACTAATCTTTTAAGGTATTAACTAACAGCAGGAATGTTGGCCATAGGATCTTTATTATCCACCTGAACAACCATGAAAAAACATTCAGATTATGCCAGTGTTTTATGCTGAATCTAGGAGCAGGAATCTCCATGCAGTGCAATGTCTTTGACGTGTAATTCACACATGAAGACATCATCAAAGCAATTTCTAACTGATTTGTCTCAGCAAATAAAAAGCATACAGGCGAGCAGCATATTTCTGGACGCTGTATGGTAACAGCCACAACTTCAGACCGTCACTGCCCAGAGAGTGTCTGAGAGGTCCCCACGATGCAAACCAGAATGCTGACCACCTCTTTTCTTTTGTTCTTGTGCAATTAACAAGTATTTACTAATTAATGCACATGCCCCTTGAGACACATTTCAACAAGCTAAAAAATAAACAAACCTGACATGCAAATACTATGCAGTTGCACAGATAGAGATTCATATTTCTGAACATAAAGAGTACTGAAAAGATGAAGTATGTGCCATATTTTGGCTCCTACTGGAGGCTTCAGCTGCTACCCCAGAGTATTTTGTTTAACACACCCTTGAAACAGAAAGAATATCTATCTACGTGGTATTAAGTGTTAGCCCTTCCTTTGTCAGGTAAAAATCATAGACAAGTATGTCCCTAAGAGGTCTAGGAAACTCTAATTGCAGTAAACTCTACATAAGTGTCAATATAACCAATAATAGATAATTTCATTACATAATAAGCCTAAATACTTACCTGTTCTATCCATTTATACTGGTTTCTCTCATATTCTGACTATACAGATAACATTTAATTTGCTTTCACAGAAGAAACAAAACTGGTTTTTACCTTTGTAATAAAAGCAGACCTTAGGAAAGAGTTAAAAAGTAGCAAATTATATACCAAATGATGGCATAACCTCATGAAAGACAATACATTACAAAGAACACCCACCATAAATCTCAGTAACTCAGTAAAGTATAAGCCAGTTGCTCACATCTGTTACCAGTTAGATGTAAATTTCAGATTACAGATAAAAATTAAATTGCTTTTGAAAGTTACAGGCAAAATAGGAACATATTTTACAAATAAAAGCATTAATAAAAATGATGGCATATTAGAAGAATTGGAAATATTTACAACATACCCCAGCTTCAGATCAGTTGCTCTTAGAAATCAGGCAGTGCCCTTTCTTTCACCTTGTTAGGATTAGTTTGCATTTTTCTTTGTGTTTATAAAATATTTAAAAAGAAAGAAGTAAGGTTTATAGGGCAAACACAGACATGCTGTAAAGTGATATAATTCCTACTAGTTGCAGGGTGACCCAAACTGTCTTCTACCAGGTATGGATTTTCTCCACACTCATATTGCCAGCTGTATTTGTCTCTCTCTCAGGGGCACTGATGAATGAATATTTTGAGATGCTTAGGTGCTGCTGGAATGAAGTTTCATTGCCATATGCATCTTCTCATGTTAATGTTCTCTTTTGATTTCAAAACCCAAACATCTCTACATACTTACAGACATATATATGTCCCTCCAAAAATATAAAGTATCAAACTTCAGTTTTCAAAATTATCCTGCTTGCCTCTGTGTGTTGTGCAGCAGGCAGGCCCATATGAAAGCAATAAAAGTCCCATGTGGCACTAATCCAGCTTGCTGATAGCAAGGCTCTCCCTGCAAAGGCAGCGCTCAGCTAATAGTGAGAAAAACTGTGCAGATGGCTCAGTAGCAAATGTCACGATGATGTTGGGTGCAGATTTAATTGGAGAAGCCAGAACCAGTTTAGCAGATGTGTCCTGTAGGTGACTGAGAGCAGGAGGAGGGGAGTGTTTTATAAGCCAGGTAATGATGTACAATAAAACACATGCACTGGAGGGGAGCTGGTCAAAACGTAGAATCAGCCACCTCCACCATTCTGCTGAAATTATTCAGGGACATTGGTGTTGGCAGGGTTGGAATCAAGGCAAACTGCTCAGAAAAGAGCGCTCAAAGGCTTAGACTCATTATCTTTTACTGGGAAAAACTCACACAAGAGCTACCAAGCACAGAGATACTAACAAATTATGTACAGGGATACTGCTTTAAATAAGTGTGCATGAAGCAAATCAATACTCAAATGAGCGTACCTTTTCTAGTTGTACTTTTTCTTCATTTTCTCTTCTTTTGTAGTGTGTGTTTCAAACGGCAAAACATACTCACATGGTGAATCTTGGCATCCTAATCTCCGGGCCTTTGGAATTGTAGAGTGTGTGTTATGCACCTGCAACGTCACCAAACAAGAATGTAAGAAAATTCATTGTCCAGAACAATATCCCTGCAAATACCCTCAGAAGGTAGAAGGAAAATGCTGTAAAGTCTGTCCAGGTAAAACAAAAAGTTGATTGCAGACCGCCTTCTTGCTGTGCATGTTAACAGGCTTGGCTCAGGCCCCCTAGTCACAATGAGGTCTGGTGAAAGCAGCATGGGCTGCTGGTGAAACCAGCACGAGCTGTGCCTGCTGTTCCAGTCTGTGTGCAGGGACAGCAGTATGGGACAGCCGGAGCTGTCCCCGTCACTGCTCTACTGCTCTTCTGCAGACTTGATTTATCCAGGGCACGTGGGTTCTCATCGCTTGCTGACTTTCCGTCTAATATTAGCGTGACTTCCTGACACTCATTTCCACAGAGAGGGGTACATGCACAGAAAGCGCAGGTGCATGTGCAGTGCCCTCGGGAGACTCTCCTCTGCTCCCCCAAGTACAGAGCTCACAGAACATTCAGATCGTTTTCTAGCTTGCAAGATTTGCATGGAGATACTATCATTCCTGCTTTGCAAAACACACCACAGGCATTCAAAAGCCCTGACTACAACATGATTTGTCCTGATTATATAACTTAATCCTTGATGTAAACACTAACTTAATATAAGCTTAGCATTACCTTTCTGTGCTATGCTAATTATTACATTTCTGTATCATTACTTAGTAAAATTAATGCCACAACTAACCTGCTAATCTGCTGGCTGGTCTGACAAATGACCAGCCATGTTGCATATGATATAAAGGGCAAAGGAGTATCCTGTTGCCCTTCTGGACCTTTACATTTCGTTTCTAATTTGTGTGGCCCATCCTGTTTGTTTGGTGATGCACTGGGCAGAAACACTCTGAGGAAATGAGCAGACCTGGTTATGAAGGTGCATCCCTTTTGGCCGTGGGCAGGTGGGAGGTGAGCAGTTGGATCCCTCTGGATGTCAGTAAATACTGGATGAGGCTCATTTGAAGATGAGTCAGCAAAATCTAACAGACTGGCTTGAATGGAAAAAGTAGTAGTGAAAAGAGAGTTACTGTCTTTTTCTTTGAGATGCCATGTGCCAGTTTTTAAGAAAGTTAAGTTTTTCTACTATGTCTCGTATGTGTTAAGAGGTACTTATCACTAGGTTTCACCTCAAGCTGGAGAATCTGATAAGTCTGACTTTCTCACTAAGCTGCATCTTATATCTCTTGCATTCTTGTCCAACTTCCAGGTATCACCAAAATATTTATGATTTCAATCGTATTGCCCATTATACATTCACATGGGCCAGAGACGAGGTGCACTAGGGCTAGTCTGGGCCTGCACACACCTAGAGCTGGCCATGTTCTTGTGGGCCTGCTGGTTTGCTGGCTGCTGCCGAGCAAAACGCAGGATACATCAGTTCTCCCTGCTCCTTGCCTCAGCAAAACACCAGTGTGGGTCTATTCACTCCGACCAACCACTGATTTTTTCATTTAGTTATTCAATTACCTCTGAGTCTTCTAGCATTATTTCAGATCTGCTTGGAAAGTGACAACGGGTTCAAAAATTTTAGGATACTGATGGATCGATAGCATAGCTATATACAGTTCATTTCCTTATGAAACTGGGTTATACATCCATATACTATCTCTCCACCATGCATAGACATTCAGAATCAAGCAGAATAGATATGGTTAAAGCTGTAATATTTGTTTTGAGTTTTGTGTTTTTTTATTTTTCCTAAACAGAAGAAGTGCCAAGTCAGAACTTTGACAACAAAGATTATTTCTGTGGCAAAGAGACATTGCCTGTCTATGAATCCGTTTTCACAGAGGAAGGGGAAACCATCAGAAAAATTGCAGTAGAGACTGAAAAGCCACCTCAAATAGAAATACATGTGTGGACAATTAGAAAAGGTGAGTTAGACAAGTTCTTTCTTTACACAACATATTGTCCTCCATTAAAATCCCAAGCCTAGATGCTGACTGCGCTCCTTCTGGCTAGTGCAGCACCGTGACAGCCCTTTCCTACACACTCGAATTTTGTTATGCAGAAGTCTGAATAACCCCCCAGATTCTAGTTCTGAAAGCTTCTGGCCTTCATTGTGAGCAAAAACACAAAGCCAGGCAGATTGTCAGGAAAGCACTATGACATTTGTTGCTGAGAAGCAGATAGGCAGGGTTTAACCAGCCGCTTAAGGGTTCTTATTTAGCATGGTTGAAAAAGCTGTCCAGCGAAAACAGCCTTAGTGATGTGTTACTACATCTGTAATGGTCTAAACTTTCAGCAAAGAATGTTTTAAGATGGAAGTAGTAACTTTTAGCAGAATAATTGATACAGTTAAAAAAAAATAGAAAACCTTTCAGAAGCCCAAGCACTTGTGCAAAATCCTCAGTCGTTAGTACGACAAAAAGTATTTCCTCCAGCCTCCTACAAATGTTTCCTACTTTAAGCAGAAAGCATGTAATTCTCTTAGGAAAAGCATGTGTAGCACAAGCCTTTTCCATATAAATTATACACTTGCAGATTTCTTTTTCAAGCACAAAGCCAAACCCAAACCGTGACCGGAAGAGCAGTCAGAGGCTCTGATGGTTAATAAATGCCCTGTGTATTCAAGAAATGATGATTTGACAGTGATGTTGCCTGCTGGCTCACGACAGGCAAAATGGTATGTGACAGCAAAATCATACTGCTTTTCTTCAGGACACTGGGATTTTGGCTTCTGCTGTAATTCTGCATTCACTCATACTAAGGAAAGGGTCGGCTATGTTAGAAAAGTGTCAGCTCATTCTTCCCCCACCCAGAAACTCCCTGCACCATAAACTCACAGAAGAAAAATGCAAAAGTAGCCAACAGAGCCAAAGGGAACATCCAGGAAAAATATCCTGGAATACCCTGGAAAATGCAGGTTGTTGGTCGGGATTTCGGGGAAGCCTGGCACGGCAGTGACCCTGCTCCGGTGGCAGGGCCGGCCGGGCGTGTTGCGCGCCCGCTCCCGCTAACACGCGCTCCTCCTCTCGCTGCTCAGGGATCCTGCGCCACTTCTACATCGAGAAAATATCCAAGAGCGAATTTGAAGAACTTCCCTACTTCAAGCAGATAACAAGAACAACCCCTAGTAAGTAACATCCTGGTCTCTTCAAGTTTCTCTTCTCCATATGAAGAACACTCCTTTTACTCCACATACTCAAGCAGATAACTTAATTTTCTCCCAGTACATGGCTTCAATATTTTGTAGGTATAAATCAAAATCATTAAAATGCAGCAATTTAAAACACAGGCATATGTAAGAGGGGAGCCTGTCCCTGCTGCACTAGCCACCTGTCATTTTGAGAACATGCAGGATAGACGGGTCTCTGCTCTCACTGCCATGACTGATGGCAGCGGAGCAGCACAATCAGGCTTCATGTAAGCAACATTTCAAGCAATCATCATTTTTCTGAAAGTTATTCAGTACAGAAAAAAAATGACATGATTAAAGGAGTTCTCATATATATATATGTTATATTTGAAAGAAGACACTCCTATGCTTCTAATTTTTTTAAGGAGTTATAATTCACTTATTTATCACTCTTGACTAAATTTCTTGTTTGTATTTCATCCACCTTGGGATATGACTGTTGATTTGACGGTTTAATTAAAGTAAAGGTGTTTTTAGCTCCCAGTTCTTTTCCAAGACTAGTTGCCATTTTTTATGAGCTTCCAGTTGGGCAGGGAGGTATTTTTCACTGGAATAATCTAGTCTTGAGGATACAGGATTAGTGAGAAGTAGACACCCTCTCATGTAAAAGATTTCCTGGTTGTTTTTTCCTTTCAGCCTTCCCTAAGCTTCCCACTCCTGGTCACCTGCACTGTATTATTCTAGTTACCAAGACCACAAGCATTCACATTACCAAAAATGCATAGTAATAGTAATACCCTAGGAACAGAGTCTGTATTTAGGCAGAGCTCACACTGCATGAAACATGCAGACTTGTTGCTTCCTGACTTTCAAAAACTTCAGTTCACCACCGGATTCCAGTTCTCCCATAGCTCTGCCTTAAACCAGAGTATCTCACTTCAGAAATGGCAGAAATGAATAGGGGCCAATTATAGCACCACTGAATTAAAGAAGGGGATAACATTCTGGTCCTAGATTATGTTTTTTAAACAAGTTATTTTGCGTGGACTCTATTACATGATTGTAAGATGCTTCAAATATTTTCCATGGGAGGATTAGACAGTGTCTCTACCATTGTGAATCAGTTTGTCCGGAGAGTGCTTGTAAATGACTCCAAAGTTCTCTGTGCCCTTTCTGAGTATCTTTCTCCTTTGTATTTTTGTTTTCAGGCCAGTGGAAAATATTTAGCGAGGGAGAAGCTCAGATCAGCCAAATGTGTGAAAGCAGAGTGTGCAGGACTGAGCTCGAGGATTTGGTAAAGGTTTTGTACCTTGAGAAGTCTGAAAAGGGTCACTGTTAAGGGAGACAGCACTGGAGGGAGAAACACAAGAAAACTTATGAAAACTTGGATCTGCAGCTGGACTGCAGGCTTATTTTGCTTAAGTCAACAGTTGCCCTAAAACCCAAAACTATAATGCAGTAATTATTCACATCATGCACAGCAAATTTGCTGCTTTATGTGTAGTGGTCTGTGTCAACCGTTTAAATATCTCCTCAAAAAGACTAGGAGGCTCTGTATTACTGGTGGGGGAAGGAGAAAGAGACTGTAGTTTCTTAGAGTTGCATTTCTTTACAAGTTAAAAAAAGAAAACAGAACATTTTTATTATTATTATTTGGCAAGTTATTCAAACTAAAAAGAAGGACACTTAATAAATGTGCAGGAGCTACGAAGAGTATTATTTCCTGTGCTGAGTTTATTCCGTTTCTGGTGTTAAAATGACTCACAGATTTTTAGAAGGGGAGGAAAAACACAAATGATACAATACTTATGTTGGAGACATAAAAAACAGATTTAAGCTAACAAACTTGTAAGCAGCCTGCCTTTGGGATGATGTCTTACAATTGAGCAAACTGAGTCCATAAACTGAACAGCAGGTGTTAGTGGCAATCACTGTATTTTCGTAGCAATTTGAGAAAATGTTCACTTTTAAGTGGTTTTCACTCAGTTTCTACCTCCCACTTCTCTAAATAAAATGTAACGTGTTAGCTCCCTATCACAGCCCTAATAACTTCATTCTTGTGGGCCCTATTAACACAGGTCTTGGCTGATACCCTGCCTTACCCAGCATGTGGTGGAAGGTGGGCAAGTATTCCCAGCACTTCCAAAACTCTTAGTGGGTTAAACCTCCCCACTAATAACTCCTTAGGATTGTGACCTTCCTCCACTGATGCTTTCCAATTTGGATCCAAAGTGCAGAAGTGCTGCATTTTCTCATGGTGGCCTCTCAATTCTCCAGCAAACTTTGAGGACAAACCTCCCCCATGACAAATACCAAGCTGCTGTAGCGGGCCTTTAGGGCAGAGTAGCTTTGTGCAAGTTGCTTTCTTCCTGAAAAACAAAGCTGAGATAGGCAGTTGGAAGGTGAAATGGAGTATAGTGGGCCCATGGTGTGTTTAAGGAAGGTGGCTGCCATCTCCAGAAAAAGAAGTACAAGGCCATCACTTCGAAAAATGCTATATCTGAAGAGACAACAAAATCATGCAGAGCGGCTTGTGGCTGCACTCCTGGATTCATTCCCAAGATGAAGGTGCCTCCTGCCAGTCTTTGTCCCATTTTCTGCTCCACAAGCAAAGATCCTGCTGCTCTGGCCCACGTTGGGAAGCACAGCTCCATGGAACAGTCTGTGCCAGGGCTGGGTCCTCCTGCGGAGCGAAATGAGCACGGGGACCAGGAGAGCTGTCACTCTGCGGAGGGGCTCCCGGGCCAGGCCCCTGCCTGGGCTGCCTGCAGCGCCAGAGGCTTGGAGATGAGGAGGCATCTGAGCAGGGCAGACACGAGCGTGATGGAAAAGGCAAAGGAAATCTGGAAAATGTATAGAAGGTGGACTTTCTAATTCTCAGTCCTTTGTGATTCTGCCTATATATAACCACCACGTTGTCCCTAGGCCAGGATAGAGAGTAGATAGTGACATTTCCCTCGCTGCAATGTGCTAAGAATGGTCCACTGCATACCACAAAAACATGCTAAAAAGAGAGCTCCTCCAGGATGCAGCTGGATTGGCAAGAACAAAACAATCTCTTCATATCACTAGGACCTTACAGAAGAAGCAAGACCAAGAACTGATGTCATGCTACATATCTGAAGTCTTAGCTAGCATGTGGCCATTAGAAGCTCTATACCGCTTTTCATAGAAAGGAGAGTTAAGTGAATTGTCCCAACCAAATTTCCAGTGGGAACATAGCCTTCTGCCTTCACCCATTCGGTCTCAGTGGCTGAAAGGGATACAGTGTGTCCTAAGCCCTGTCACACTGCTGTGGGCTCTGTAGCAGTTTCACACCTGAACTTATCACAATGCAATTGGAGGAGAAAGAGTTTACCCAGAACTGGGGCGTCTGCTGGGCTGAAATGTGCTGTAGAAGTACTAGATTCCACTATAATTCTTCTAATAACTCAAGCCTGAAACTTGTCATTCCTTTGGCGAAGACTTTGCAAAAGGCGTTTGTAGCAACCCGGTCAGAAACACACAGTGGTCTGGCCCACCTCATGGACAGTCTGTCTGTAGCAGTAATTGGTGAACAAAGACTAAGTGGAAAGTGTACAATGATTGTAATTTTTTTAAGAAGAAGAGGAAGGTAACCTGTTTTTTTTTTTTGTATTTGTGACAGGTCAGGTGGAGTCCAGATTGTATATTTATTTGTATAATAAACACTCCTTCAGAAAAGCAAAATAAAAAAAAAATCGTAACTATCATTTAGTAAATGCAGTGTTGCATTTTTACAGTCTCTGGTCACTTAAGGCAATAAAATACACAAGTGTCATGGTTTTTCATTCTCTTCATGGGATGTACGTCTGTTACGGTACTTATTTATGTACTTGTTGTATCACTTTGACCTGATTTTATAAATTAATAAACTCTAAAGTTGTTAATAAAACAAGAGCTTCTGTGTATGATGTTGGTGCTCCGTGTACTGCTGCAGTCCTCGTTTGCAGTTCTGCTGCTGTCACCCGACACAGAAAGCCCAGAGGGGCAGTGTGGCTCCTGGGGCTGGGCCCTGTTTAGTTCACTGGGTGAAATGCAAAGGAGAAATGCAAGGCCAAGCAGGCAGGTCTGGGTGTGCAGGGGAGAGCCCTGCTCTGTGCTGTGCCCTTCTGAAATGAGTTTTAAACATCCTCCCCACCCTTAGCAGAGAAAGAGTGTGTTAGCCTGAGACTCCTACCTTCATACTCACTCCATTGGGGAAAAAAGGTCAAAGCGTTTCACAATTCAGATGATGAATACTTCCAAAATAATTGATAGCACATGAAGTATTTGCGTAATATTGGTGTGTTGTGGTGCCTGTTGTGTTATCCATCTGTGATAAAAGCCAAGATTTGGAAGATTTATTGTGGGAGGGGTGGAAGTTGACAAAGTTAGCCCTTACTTCCATTTGTTGCTTTCATTTTGGGTTTGAAAAATATCTTTGTCTTCTGCACTGAGGTTTTGGACCATTCCACTTCTCGGTAAAGTCTGTCTGCGCCGGCATTAGCATCTAAGTACGCGCCCACAACCCTGCCCTTCTCACACAGCACCAGCCAACTGTGAGCAAGAATGCAAAGCATCCACAGCAAAAACAAACAATTGATTTTAACCCAGGAAAGCAGTTTTTAATGTAGAAACCCTGGATACTGGTTCAATAGGATCAGACAAGGTAATGAGCCTTATTTCCAAGTGAGAACACCGCGGTGTCCTCAGCAGATCGCGGCTCCAGAGGCAGAGGTGGAAGCTGCTCCGCAACATCTGAGCTGCCCGGGGCTGCCAGCAGAGCTGAAGGGCTCACAAGTGGCACCTCCAGCCCCTTGATCTCTCCCCAAAGATCAATCTGGTCCCCTGTAGTTTTATTTCTCCTATTCATCTTGTGCTTTTGTGTTTGTTTCACGATCACAACACCAAGAAATCATCTGTGTTAAAGCCAAGATAAATTGAAACTGCCTCTATTCCCACTGCAACCATCAGTGAAAAGTCCCGGTTCCTTAAAGGGAACTGGAGTTTTGAGCTCTCCACTCCTGTGCCTGTTGATTTTTCAAACTCTTTTTTAGAATACTCTATACGCAAGGCAGGAACGAGCTCCTTCAAAGACAAAGGCTTGGTCAAAGCAAAGCAACGTAAGTACCAGAAGTATAGAAAGGCAGAGAGAGAGAAAGAAAGATGATAAGAGGAGAGAGACCTGGGGAAGGATGTTATTGCTGATTTGCTGAATAAAAAAAGCTGTGGTCTCAACTTGCACCGGTCTGTTCTGGTCAGCATTAACCCCTCAGCAGGTGTATCAATATTACTTTAAAATTTACTCTATCATCTTAGCCACTTTGGAGGATCCTATAAACTGCTGCAAGCCAGACTGACATTCATGTCCACCAGGAACACTGCACGAGCCTCCCCAGCCGCGCCGGGACCCTGCTCTTCCCAGCTCGTCCCTCCTCCCAGCCCACAGCTAGAATGGGCCACGAACCATCTGAGCCTATGCTGTGCTCTGGTTTTAAAGGCAAAATTAGGACTTAAGTGATGCTTAAGGTTTATGGACAGGGGAGTATTTTTGCTCTGCATCCCTAAGTGGGAGATTTCTGTTGCTTCCTGTGCTACTGCGAAGCTTGCAGTTCAGTGTGGCTGCAGCTCAGTGTAGGCTGCAACAGCTCCTAGAAACTTGTTCTGTAGCATCCTCAGGATATTTGGGAATGACAAAGGCTGGAGAAGCTCAAAGCTCAAAGTGTCATTTTTTCACTAGTGAAAGTCAAGTACTTAAAGCTGTGGTTGCAAAAATATCTCATAAACTGAAAGACAATAGTCATCAATTAATCTCCATCAAGTTCTTTTTAGAATAATGAAGATTTGATTGTGAAGAATAAGGAAGATTTGATTGTAAACACAGTCGTTTACTAAAGAAAAAAAATCTAATTCTTAGAGACACATGCACAGCTCCCAGTGACGATGCGCTGCGGAAAGCTGTACTTTGGGGAGTACCCAAGATCATGGTTTCCATTCAATACTATTAGAAAACATTTCCTTGCTTTGAATGTCTTATTTTTTATTTGCATAAAGAAAGCCTTGATTTTTAAGGCTCTTTGGAGGGTAGCATCCTTTCAAAAATGGGCCGGTGCCAGCACTAAGAAACGTTATGAGATGTTTACAACCAGCACTGGTCTCCCACTGATTTTAGTTTTGCCATTTGTATCTATGTAAAATAGTTGTAAAATTATGCAACCAAATCCTACCAGTAGCACTTCTCACTCACTTCACACCATGTAAATAACCATAATCAAGTGTTAACTTTTTTTTTTTTTTTAAAGGGGGTTGTTTGAACATCAGCAACGTGCTAAATTTCTGGAAATAGAAACCCCGCTGCTATTTTGTTTGAAAGGCTTAGTTTATAAATTACAGATTGTTTTCACAAGGGAGACGAAAAGAATTCAAATTTTATGAATTCAAAGAAAACCTAGCCTCCTATTTTGCAACCATAAGTAACTGAAAGATTCAATTGATACTAATGGTCAGAGTCTTGTATACAGAGCCTTAAGAAATTACAACAGCTTTTCCCACTAAATTTTTCTTCTTAATTCAAAGTCAGACAACTTTTAGAGACCTTTGCTCTGATAAGTCTCCTGCTGATGTGCTGGGCTCTTCCCATGACCTAAGCTTGCAACAAGCTCCCAAGTTCTTTCTAGTCAGTATGTGTTGGGAATTATTTACCCCATCCAAATGATGTCTGTGATGAGCTCACTCTTAATAAAGACAAAGCTATCATAACCACCGCGCTCATGGTGATCACTGCCCTCATTAATGCACAGAGGGCCTAACAAAAAGTAGTCACTGATAATTTACTTTTCACGCAGGAAGTTAAGAAAACCCTAGAGAAATTAAATAGAAACTCTTGACAACTGCAGAACTGCATTTGAATAGTAAGTGTTGAAACCTGGAGCCCTTCTCGTCTGGCTTCTCTGCCTAGAAGGAGATTTCTGAACAGACATTTTATCCTTTTGCCAATGACTAAGATGCTGAAAGGAGCAGTTACTAGAAGAGTACCTTTAAAATGCAGCTCCAGCAAAAACAGTCAACAGGGAGAATCTTCAAGCAAAGAATCCAGCCACAGCCCAGCTCCAGCCAGGCCAGACCCTGCCGCCGTGAACATCAGCCTCGTTCCCCACCAGAGGAACATCTGGCCAGATACAGCAACGAGCACGTCAGTCTGGCCAGAAGACCCAGGGGAATGAAGTAGGAGAAATGTGACATTAGCACATTTTAACTGTAAAGACACAGGCTTTTCTCATCTCTATGCATATTCTTTTTATAAATCACAGTTTTCAGGCCCTTTGCAGGAGGTGTCGCCTCAGCCAGCGAGCATATCTTAAAGCCACCACTCCCCTATCTACAGCCACATGGAAATATGTTACCTAATATACATTAACAATAGACCTTTTTACCTCACACAGACACTTGTGCTTAGCAGTCTCAATAAATACAAAGCCAAAGAGTCAGGAATATACAACCTGTTCTATCAAGTGTCTCCTCCCCACCAGCTTCTTCCCAGTCAGATCTATGGACAGTCATTTCTTGCATCTACTTCTTGTACCTGCAAAAATCCCAGCAAAGCAAGATTTGTGACCTAAAAAACAGGAGAAGCAAGAACCACTTCCAAAGAATTCTGGGATCCCAGGTCTGGGATCTGGGATAAATTCCTTGTAAAATTCCAGCTCTGTTGCCCTAGATATTGAAAAGGATTCTGACCTATTTCTGTAAACACGTGAAAAGCCAGTGTGCTTCTGCCAAAAAATAACCGTTATTTCTAATAATTGCCAGCTGAGAAAGAATTCCAAAAGAAAGTGGATGATGAGGCTTGGGAGCCCTCAAGATGCTGTATTTGATGACTGGCTTTTGCAAGTGAGTTAAAATGGATCTTCTTTACTTCTTGAATGTCACCCTATAGAGTAACTGCTTTGGAAAGGTTTACATCCCTTTTCTCCCCTATTCAATCTCATTAACTCCTCTCTCGGAACCCAACACTTTCACTGTTTCAAAAACAGTGGATAGATTTTCAAGTACCCTTTGTAGTGTTTGTTTTTTGGAGTTAATTTTGTTTTGCTCTTTCATTTTTGCTGTTCTCTGATCCAAACCCACACCATGACCAAGACAAAACCCCGGCAGAATTGACTGGAGTTGTAAAGTGTCACCAAAACATACAGTGACTGCTTATGTTACTCCTGGCAGATAGAGCTGATCGCTCTGTCTTGTATAAAGTTCATTTTTCCAAAATGATAACAAATAAAAGAGGGTGAAAACAAGTTTAAGGCAGTGATGGAACTCTTTTATGAAGTGAATAGGTGCTCTCTGTGCCAATACAGTCTGCTTAATCACAGTCTAACATTTAATTATGTATATAGTTAAGGGGACTTGCTTGCATTGGCT